TACTGCGATGATCATACTTCACTTTCATCTACTACCGCAGTTCAAATATGAATTATTTCATATATACTCCAAATCAGTGGACTCTTAACAGTTATGACTAGGTTAATCCAACAAGTAAGTTTGTTTGGTTATGATGTACAGCGAAAAAAAAAAATAGAAATTGTTTCACCCTAGGAAATGTGATATCAAGCCTATTTTTACATGGAACTGTTCCTAGACTACGGGTAGTCCCTCTTTCGCTGGGTCCGTCGTGCGTGACGCGAAAGAAAACCACGAGGAAAAAATGGCCGCGCGAAATCCTGGGGGCGAGGAACGTCACGCACGACGGACTAAGCGACAGAGGGACTACTCGTAGTCTAAACCGTTCCCAGCAAGACAGCTAAACATCATGCAGTCTCGGTGCAGTCTGTAATAGTAGCTAACGGTAAACCGCAGATTGGTGTTGATTTTGGATAATTTTTCTGACTCATTTTATAACAAGAGCCAATTAAAGGCGAAATCCGATCAGGAAGCGGAGCAAACAGTCTCACAGAAGTTTGCAATACAATGTAAATAACCTCGATGCAAAGTTTTTGTCCGCTTGTCACTCGAACTTGTGGTGGATTCCTCCTTAATTATAATATATGTTCTTAATATTCTCAGAGTTGCCACAATGATCGTAGTTTTTTTTTTTTCGGTTTTTGAAATTACATGAAACCACTTCAAATTAATATCAATTTCAAAACCCGTTTAAACGAGAACACATCATTGAAGGTAAACGGCGTTACCTAACGTGAGACTTGAAACAACCAGAAACATGAAAAACTGTATAATTTTTTTTAACACGTCATGAAATCTTCGGAATTTGTGAAGTTTTCTTGACGCCTAACTGACTTTTTGGTCAAAAAAAGTCAGTTACAGACAAAAGTTTTGTCACGTTATGAGAGGGGTCTCTGGAAAACGAGGACTGGATGGCGGCGGATAGCGGATGCAAAAATGCAGATGGAAAACTGCGGATGATAAAATCCTTATGAGGGGAAAATTTTCTGACAGTCATAGTTGTAAATAAACCAGGCTATTTAAAAGAATTTAGGCCGGGAGAAGTCCAAGTTGTTTTTTTATTCAGTCACAAAACAGATCAAAACATTTTTACGCCGGCGGAGAAAAACCGGGAAAGTCTTGATGGAATAATAACGGACTAGACTTTTCTTTTATCATTTTAATAGACTCCGTTCTTCTTTCACTACATCGAAGGACTTTCGCCGTTTACTCCTAAGCAAATTTCCACTGCAGAAAATAGGCATTGTCAAATTAAATGAAATACCACTACAGGTACAGGAACCGATTGCGCCCCACTTCAACTGCACGCACCCTGTTTGAGAAGTTTGCAAGGCACACGGGGCGTCAACTTCGCATATCAGCACAGAGTTAAAAAATCTGGCCAATACAAACAAACATTAAGGTTAGTGTTTCGTATTTTATTCATGTCAACTGGAGCCCTACAAAGATCCCAGCAACAAAAGTGGTAGCGCTATAGCCCGATCAACCCCTCCCCCTCCGCGGCTCCTGCAGCACAAGACCGTGCACAACACGTCTTCAAAGACTTCAAAGGCCGGCGGCTCTGGAAGAGCGCGGACAATGGTTATGGAGTTTATATAGTGACAATTCCTTGAACAAAGTTAGCTTTGTTTGGTCGATCGAACTTCGACCTTATCTTTATCTCTGGCAGTCTTTGTTAACCTTTCCTCTGTGTACTTTTGTAGCGAAAAAAGCTGGTTCAAAGGCGTCAAATGGACAGGATACGACCTTCAGGTATCGAACGGGTACAGACGATTTTAAGGGGGGTCCTCCTTAACTACAGATTTAGAGCTGTTTCTAAGGGATTGCTGGAGACGATATTTAGAGGAAAACTATTTTGGAGCGTTTTGCAGTGCTAAATGGTGAATTTATATGATTTCGCGTGCGTAACTTTCGCCAGTCCAAAACGCGCGTTTAGAATTTTAAATCCTTAACACTTGAAAGGAAAGAGGAAGAGTTCCGATTTTTCTTAGGAATCAGAAAAAACTTAGCCTTCTTTTAAACCGTACGTATGGAATTACTGT